AAATAACAATGACATTAGGACAGAGGAGAGGTTCAGGCAAATTTGATGAAGAGATCTCCTTTTCGAAGAGGTGGGCCTGCAAGGAGGGGAAGACTTCATGAAGATGACTTCTTCTAGGAAGCCTTCCTGAACTGATCTAGTGAAGTGACAATTTCTCCCAACTCAGGTATCCTATCTAAATGTATTTCAATGCACCTATTGCCCCAATAATGCACTTTGCCTTGTAAATATTTCATTTTTGTTCAGGATTTAATTCTTAGTTCATGATTTAGTTTTTTGAAGTTCATTTATATAGAAAGACCATTTTTAAATCTTTGCATTTCCCTCTCCCTCCCCTTCCTATTATGTATTCAAGTATGCATCCCCACCACTTAGCACAAAGCACTTTGCCTGAAGGGGGCACTTAATGAGGCTTATAAAATTACCAGTCAGACTATTATGATCAAGCCCTGGCTGTGGCACAGACTCAAGGTGTGACCTAAGGCAAATCACTCACCCTTAGTTAACTCATCTGTATAATGGGGGAGATTAGTTGCCTCCTGCCTGCCTCACAAGAAAGTTTTGAAAAATAATGAGGCCAAGTGCTTTGAACTCTCTGAAGGTGGGTGCTATGGAAGTGTAAACTGTTATTACTCTTAATCAGGGTTATTCCCTACATTGGCACCTTTTGGTGAAGGCAGTTTACTGGGGAAAGCAAAAGTCCCTTTTAAAGTTTTCATTTATAGATTTTTGGTTATTAAAACATTCCTATTGAACAGCTCTGCTACTTACTAGTTTCATGACTTTGGGCAAATTACTTAATCTAAGCCTCAGCTTCTTCAACTGTACAATGGGGGAGTGTGTGGGATGCCACTCAAATTAAAAAAAAAACACAGAGGTATCCAAGGAGAAACAGAAAGTTAGTTTATTATTATTATATATCAAACCTCGAGATTTGGGTGTCCCTCCACCAGAGTGCTCTGATGAGGGGAGACACAGACAGAAGCAAAAGACCTGATTAAATACCCTAATGGGCAAATTCCTCCCTCCCACCAACTGGCCACTATTTGGCTCCCAGTCTCAATGTACCATAGAAACTGAAAACAAAACAAAGAACACAAGATGTGCAGTCAAGCTAGACACCGTACTGTACAGCCAGGTCACCGTGATCCAAATATAGCAACAGGTGCATCAACAAAGAGCAGGGGGGGCTTCTTCAGGAGTTTCAGGCTTGGCAAACTTTAACTACTTAACAATGACATGGGGGGAGTACTTGGGGGTTGAATTCCCCGTCTAAGAAGTTTTCACGGGACCCTCATCCCACTCAGCCTCATCCCAAACCTTAATTACGCTGAGGAGTCTTCCCTGGGACACCCCATTCAGGAGGACAACATTGCACTCCTACCTACGTCAAGGATTGTTGTGCAGAATATACTTTGTAAACCATAACGGGTTAAATAAATCTGAGCTATTTGAAATGTTTGTAAGTCTAAACCATGGATTCAATTCACTAATTTACTATAAACCTGATTGTTTTTAAAGCCCAAAGGTAAAGCTTGCAGTCTTGATACTGCAATAGTATTTGTCATATTCTAGGTCACAGGGGGCAACAGTCCTGCAGCAGTTAAGCCTCACTACATATCCCTTCCTACTCATCATCTTATGCCTGGTCTACTGAAATACCCTTCTGGTTGGTCTCCCTGTCTCATCTTTCTCCATTTCAGTTCATCCTCCAGCCTGATCAGCAGCCAAAATGATCTTCCTTAAAGAGCAGGTCTGACTGTGTCAAATTCTACTGGCTCATTATTTCCTGGATCAAATATAAAATTATCTGTTTGGCTTTTAAAGCCCTTAACAACCTGGCCCCTTCCTGCCCTTCCAGTCATCTTACACCGTCACTCCCTTTCACACCTGGTCTCCTTGTTTCAGATAGAACCTGAACCTTCATCTCCCTAATTTGCATATTTTCACTGGCTGTTCTACAAGCCTGGAATTCTCTCCCTCCCTGTGCCTCCCGGCTTCCTTCAAGTCTCATCTCCTACATGCAAGAAGCCTTTCCCGATCCCTCTTAATGCCAGTGCCTTCCCTCTGAGATTACCTCCAAAATATCCTGTGAAATCCTGTATATAGTTGTTTGCATGTTGTTTCTCCCAGTAGAAGAATGTGACCTCTTGTCAACCTTCAGAGTTTGGTGTAAGAAAAACAAACAGAATTAGGTTGTCAAAGCAGGTAGCATGCATAAGACCCAGTTCAGAAATGAGCTCACTTTGAGGTCAGGATGCACAGTTTACATGTCCTTCCAACAGGGGCTGATGTCAGTCCATCAGTGTTTCACCTCTGGACAGGAAAAAAAAATCTCTATACCAGACCACCCCCAGTTTTGGGCTACCTAGACAAAAAAGTCTGTCTCCACCCAAGTTTGAGTAGAACACAAAGGACTTCCCTATTTCAGATTAAATTACTTTCGAGCTTGGGTTGTGGGCTGTTAATGCATCTCATTATCAGTAATGTCCAGAAGAAAACTGAACCTAAAGTCAGAACTCTGGAAGAAGGGGGATGGAGGAGTGGGGAGAAGTTCTGAATCTCCAAGATCACTTCTCACTCCTCCCAGAGGGAAGGGAATTTCTCGCCTTTCTTTGTACCCTCCAGCACTTAGCATGGTAACCCAATGCTGTTGTAATGTTTATTAAGTGCTTGTTGATTTAATTCCGCTTCTCATTACCTTTACCACAATCTCAGAGCTGTGGCTGTTGGTTGGTTGGTTGTTGTCTTTCGTTCTTGAGGAGGACCAAAATGACCTCACTCTGCTAGAGTCAAGTTATAGTGTGTCTGACTGTGGCTGATCACACCAATTCGAGCTCAGAATGCTCTACCACAGGTTGGGCACACATAGTCCATGTGAACATTTGGAATGGATTCTCTAAATTTACGCATCTCGTGTTACTTTTGAGCAGCTTCAATTCTGCTTTGCTCATAGAACATAGCTCCTTTAATGAGGGCATGCCATGCTGAGCAGTTCTTTGCCAGTGTCTCCCATGTCACACAATCAATTCCAAGGCTCTTAAGAGAGACCTTGAGAGTGTTCTTGTATAGTTTCCTCTGATCACCATGTGAACACTTGCCCTGTGTGAGTTCTCCATAAAATAGTCTTTCTGGCAAGCACATCTCTTGCATTCCAACAGCCAGCCCATCAGAGTTTTTCGCTCCCTGAAGTAGAATTTGAATGCCTGGCAGTTTAGTTCGAGAAAGGACCTTAGTATCTGTCCTGCCAGGTGATCTTCAGAATCTTCGTTAAGACAATGCAAATGGAAGCAATTCTGATAGCACGCTCACCCACGTTCTGGATAATGAACTGTGCTCTCCTGCTTTCCCAGTCACCAATGGAGTGAAACAAGGCTGTGCGCTTGCTCTCATGCTTTTTAGCATGATGCTTTCAGCCATGTTGTCAAATGCCCTCAATGACAGTGAACACAGCACCAAGGTCAGTTAACCAGATCTGTGACATGCAATCAAAAGGAACAGATATCAGGAGAATCCAGTTCTACTTCTGCCACTAAAACAAGGTATGACCTCAGGCAAATCATTTCCTCTTTCTAGACCTCATTTTCTTAGTGTACAAAATAAAGGGACGGGATTAGTTGATTTCTAAGATTCCACTGCTTTTTGTGTTTTGTTGCCTTTCTTTGTATCCCCATAGCTTAGCACAGTGCCTGACACACTATAGGTGCTTTTAATTTCTTGTTGACTTGGTTTGACTCCAAGGTTCCTGCCAATTGGAAAGTTCTAATATGAAGCATATCACACTGGCCAACTCTTAAATCCTTGCTTCTACCATTCCCATCATCTGGAATTCTACTCTTCCCCCCTCCCCCAAAAAAACTTCATTTCAAGATTTCCTTGCTGTATCAATCAGGCCTGGCCCAGGGCCCGTTACTCCAGCAACCCCCTCCCCCCATCTGCCTCGGGCTTTTCCCAGTACTGAATAGGTTGAGGTCAATCTCATTACTGCTAGGGATGGTTGTTAACACGGTTTAAAATTTGGTCACTTCTGTTGATGTTCCACCTTAATGCTAGTGCTTTCCTTCTGTTGATTATCTCCAATTTATCCTGTATATTCTTGGTACATAGGTCATTGCATGTTGGCTCCCCCAATAGACTACAATTCCTTGAGAGCAAGGGACTGTCTTCTACCTTTCTTTGTATTCTCAAACACTCAGCATAGTGAGTGGCACATAGTAGCGCATGATACATATTTAATGACTGATGGCTATTTATTCCTTCCTATTCTATCTTCCTTCTTCAAACTTGGGGTTCTCAGAAAGAAAGCTCCCCGAGTCTCCCGCCTCATCCCGGGAGTTACTCTGAGGCACAGTCGGGTGTCCTTTCCCAGCAGACTGAGGCCTCTCCCAGGAAAGGGACTGAGTCTGCTTCTTTACCCCAGTAACTCCCCAAGATTAAGGAACGGTGTCGTCCTTAACTTCTTGGTTCATATGACGATTCTAACTCCCCAACTTCTATTTACTTTTTTCCACCGCTCACAAGCAGATACCGGAAGTCCCGCCGCCCGTAACTTCTCTGAGCGCCGATTGGCCAGGCCACGCACGCGGCTTCTGATAGGATGGCTGCAAACAACTACAATTCCCAATAAGCAATGCGCCTCGTTCTTCCCCGGTGCCTCACGAGAGAATGTGTTTTGGCGGTCTGATGGGATCTGTAGTTTTCCCGGAAGGGAGGGCGTCTTCCTACGTCGAGGGCCATTCCTCCCCCAGCGGTCGCAGTGGGAAGCTTGTGCAAAGAAGAAAAAAAAAAAAACCACAAAAAAAACCCTAGCGCCGCAAGTTTCTAATTGGTCGTCTAGCCGGAGTGGGTGAGGAGAGGGAGGAGCGTACTAAGTAGGCTGGGCGGGCTGGGGCGGGTTGTGATGGAGGGCTCAGCGGGCCAATGGCTCGTGGAGGATGGGTGGCGAGCGACCAATCGGGATTCCTAGAAGGCGGAGCATGGGACCTGTGGGCGAGAGCTGGCCGAGGAGGGGGGCGGGGCGGCGGGTCTCTGTGGCAGTGGGTGCTGGAAGCTGTGGCGGCCCTGGAACTGCTTCATCGCCGCGTTTGAACCGGCTCCTCAGCCGGCCTGGAGACACTCCGCCCAGCCTTCCCCGGGTGCTCAGTCCTCCCTGGCCCCCTCCCGGCGGGACCCCCCACCTCTCCACCCCTCCCGCCGTGAGGGGGCGGCCCCCACCCAGTCAGCCAGCGCTCGGCCCCGGGCTCGCGTTGGGGCGGCGGCCTCCCGGGGAGGGAAGGAAGCCGGCGCGGGCCTGAGAGGAGGTGGCGACATCGGTGGTGGGCCAGGCTGGGTCGGCCGGGCCGCGCCTCGGGGCTCTCCTGAGGAGGAGCAGGTGCGTCTCGAACGAGGCAGCCTTCCAGCCCCCACAGCCGCCGGTCCGCCTCAGGGAAAAGGACTCGGAAGCCCACCCCCCGCCCGAGTCCTGACCCTCCACCCCCACCCCATCTCGTGGGCCCTTCCCGCGCCCCCGGGACCCTCGGGCTCGAGGGGCACGGGATCTGGGGGAAGGGACCCGCGGCCCCCTCACCCACGGCTGGTGGAAGGGAAGCTCAGAGGTGGGGTGGGGATGAACAATGAGCTGGGGGGTGGGGGACACAGCTGCGGGAAGATGGGCATGAATTTAAATTATTTATTTTATCGATCGGGGAGGCCAAATCTTAGCAGATCTCGTGTCTTTGGTATTTGAGGACTCCCCCACCCCCCCAAAAAAGAAAAAGCTAAGGAGAGCAAAGACCTGAGACAGGGGGAAGAGGGAACCTTATAAGAGAGTGTAAAGAGGGTGGATAAGACCTGCCTAGTAATGGTTTGGATTGTGGCTTCTCAGATGCTCTAGATTGTTTTTGTTTTGTATAGAGGTATTTAATTTATATATACTTATATGTAGAAAGAGGTATTTAATATATATGTGTATGTATTATATATATTGGCTGCAGTCCTGTTTGAATCATTTCAGGGACAATCCCTTTTTAAGGAGAGGGAGCAGTGAAAGTGAAAACCTGAAATACAGGCTAATAAATTTGTCTGCTTTTCTTGCCCTTCTTGTGGTCACCTTTACCTCCCTCAACTTCACCCTCCTTAGCAAAGAGAACAGCATCTTACAGAGGACTCTCAGGCCATATGTTGGGTTTGGTAAAACATTTGTGGTGCTCCATAAAGAATATTAATAACTTAGTTGGCATCTTCTTTTATGTCAGGATGGAGGAGTGTTTTTACCAGGAAGATCAGTGATGGAAGGTGAACAGGACGGAGAGTTCCTTTTGAGAGGGTGAATCAGTACCTTACTTTCACCCTCCCTCTTCAACAACCACCCCCTCAGGGGATCATCTCTCAGAGATTGGAAGCTGGAACCTGTGGTCTTGTGTCAGTGTGGCTGCATGTTTAGTATGCAGATCCTGCCTCTTCACTAATGAGAGGGAGAATGGGGACCCAGGGCAGCCCTGTGAAGAGCTATGATTATCTGCTCAAATTCCTGCTGGTAGGAGACAGTGATGTTGGAAAGGGAGAAATCCTGGAGAGCCTTCAAGATGGAGCATCTGAATCCCCCTACGCCTACAGCAATGGTAAGGACTTGGGGAAGGGGGAGGATTAGTCAAACTGCACTGCAGTTGTAATTAGGGAGTATAAAAACAGTAAGATAAATTTAGTTTCTGCTCAGGTTACAGCTCCAGATCTTTGTTGCTTATATATGTTTAAACTACTCGATCTTGGCTTAGATTTTTGTTTTGTAGCCATCCAGGAAGCTGCTTCAGCTATCAGGGACTGAAATTAGCGTGTCTTCCTGAATTTTTTTTAAAACCCTTTCTTTCCTAAGGATCAGTTCAAAAGTACATTCTGATCCAAACTTTGTATCTTAAGCCAGTCCTTAAGCATTAGGCTTGGTACACAGTAGGTGTTTAATGTATATTAAATTTAATTACAACCTTGCCTTCATCCCAGACACTATGTATCTGTGCCCCACAATAGACTTTCAATTCAGGAAAATTACCTTTTATGTTAGTGTTGTCTACTCCAGATATGCCAGTAAGGGATGTAATCTGGGAATCAATAACACCATTTGGTTCCAGCTGTGTACCAGAAGACTTTGGGACACCTTGTATAATCAGTCCTCTAAAAGTAGGTCCCATCCAAAGCTATTATGACTTTTCTTTAGTACATTAGTACGAGCTTTATCTGCCTGCCTCCTTCGAAATCAAGCTGTATAATGGAAACTGTGACAGACCATTTACTATAGCTTTGAAGACTATAATTAAGAGCTGATAATTGGTACTGCCTTTTTCCTTCATCCCTTCACTGTAGTTAAAATGTAACACTGTCAAGAAGGGTGTGGGATCTATGACAATTTGCAATCTGTTCCATCTTTTGTCATTTTAAAGGTCTCAAGCGTTGAAGAGAGGTTGAATACAGCTAGAGCTTAGAGCAAACTGCATTTTTGAATCCCTTTGAATTTGAGTCCCTTTCAAGTATTCAGTAATATGGAGGTATATATTTTGCTTGAAATATTCTTTTGGGTAGCAGAGGGTAGATTTTAAAGTCCCCCATTAAACACCTCTACTGAACTGCCCAGTGGACTTCTAGATTCTACAAAGATGGGCTGAAGGGACTTAAGAAAAAAAGGAGAATGATTAGAAGGATGTTAAGGGGTGTGAGTGTGTCAGGTGGAATTTCGTCTTGTGTCAGTCATCTGATCGTGGCCCAGGTTCTATGGGAGTCCTATTGTCAGTCCATTACTTAGGGTCATATGACATGGTTGTGGCAGGGTGTAGATCTAGTAGTCAGCGTGTTATTGTTGGGTGTGTTTTTGATACAGAAGACAGATGGATACAGGCAAACTGTTCCCATCAGGTGTGAAAATACTTAGTGTTCAGGAAATCAGCCTGCTGTGCCTTGAGTAAAATGCTTCCTATCTTTAGCATTTTTTTTTAGACGATCTCAGGGCTAGGAAATGTTTGAAATGAAATATGGCCTGGTGGAAAGAACATAGGATTTGAAATCAGAGGACATGGATTAGAATTTTGATTTTACTGGATATGGGTAAGTTACTTAATGTCTTGTGGCTTCATTTTCCCTGTTTATAAAATGAGGAGTTCTGACTACATACTTCAAGTCCCTTCCAGCCCTAAATTTTATAAATGAATAAATTCATTAATTCAGTCACTGCTTGTCCTCCCTCTTAATTTAAGTATTTAAAAATACTCAGTGAAACCTAGTTAATATCTTCAGTGAAACACAGAATAACCAGTAACACCTGGAATGGGTACATTATCCCAATGACGCTGCAATTATGTTGACTTAGCTTCTAAGTTAGTATTGAATCTTCCCAAACACAGGTTTTTTGTGTGTTCTAAAAATCGTTTTATTGAAAAAAATTTTACTTTTTCCAATATACCTTTTTTCTTATTTTGTTTCTTAGGGGTTTGTGGTTTGGTTTTTTTTTTTGTTAGTCTTTATGAGCATTTATAGCATTGGCAATTTGCTAATTTGTTGGCCTTCAAATAACAGATTATATTGCCTGCTGCTTCTTCATCTCTAAAATTTTAATAGTCATCAAGGCTTTGGGTTTGACTGTACTGGAGCTAAATATCTGTCTTCCTGCTATAAGTTCAATAGGGGACTGAAGCAACAGATTTCCTTTGAAGAGTCTACAGAAAATGTATTCTTAAACCTAACCTGGAGGAAACAATTTGGAGGATAAGAAGGGAAATAATTTTTTTTTCTGATTTAATCAGCTTAAGTTTTTTGGTTTTTTAGGTGAGAGGAAGAAGTATTAGGACTACTGAGAAGTTCCTCAGAAAACTTAGGAGAGTCCCAGTTGGGATCCTTAGTTTATGAAATTAACTGCTGATTAATTAAAATGTAAATTTATGATATGCCCTTCATGTTCAAAGGTGATGCTGCTGATTCAGACAGTAGGATTTATGCTTTGAGTGTTTTTCCCAGTAGTGGCCTATGAAGTAAATGATTTTTTTCACTTATAGGACAGGGGTCCAGGGTTTTCTTTCTGGCCATGGAATAGAGATAATAGAAACTTAGCAGTATTAGAAACCTGAGAGCTCATCATACATTGCAACCTGAGCATGTATCTTCCCTGCAGCATATTGTTTTTCTCTTTTATTTATTCTTTTAGGAATAAGACCCTCAATCTTAACTTTATTGACACCGTACTTTAGCTATAGAGCTAACTAGAAGGGACAGAATTTACAGTCTGTAGCCAGTAAGTTTTTTGAACCCTTTGACTCATTCAGCCTTCCTCATTTGTCTTTTTTTTGTTTACATTGTAAGCCCAATTACCACACTTCCTATGAAACCCTAAACTGAAATGTGGAAAGGATCTTGTGTAAAAATTTACAGATCTGCCCAAAATAATGGTAAAGAACAAAAAAAGAGTCAATGTTTTCGATATTTTCCAACAGGAAAGTTGCCTATATTGGAAAAGGTAAAAAGAGCCTGCAGTGTTGCAACAAATTGATGAGTATTTTGTGGACAGGTAGCATATGCCATTCTTTAATGTTGGTCTCTTTGTTGGCACATAGCAGAAAAGACAGATATAAAATGTCATAGAGACAGGTCTTCCCTTATACTGTGGGCTCCACGAGCTCAATTAAAAGGTATAGTGTGGAGCAACTATTGCTGCTGTTGCCACTGGAAAAATAGAAGACCTAGGTTAACTGTATTCCAGTTATTTATAAGGATGTCTGCTTTGTATTTTGTTACCTTTTAATTGTCTGTCTGGAAGCATGGGAACAGTCTAATTCTCAGGGTTCCACCCAAGATGACTGGCAGCCTTTGAGGGAGGTTTGCCATACTGGTGTGAGTATAGGCCACACCTTTTCTTCAAATTAGGCTTGTAGAAAACCTGAGAGCCACTTATACTTGATATTTTTCTGTGTATGTGTAGTCTTTCAAAGATATTCTGTGTAGCGGTATGGTCTATATTAAGGCATGGCTTATATTTGGATCAATACAGTATTTTCCAGGAAGCCTTATTTTCTTGTTACCTTTTTAAGAGGTCCTTGTTTATGTTGCTTTCTCTCCTTTGTCCATTGGCTGAAAAACTAAGTGGGTTGAGAGTTTGTTCCGTATTATGCTGTATTTCTTTTCCCTTGTTGATTGAAGAGAGTACATATGTTGTAGTGGTAAAATTGTCTAATACTCATAAATAATATGTGACCCTCAACAAGTCACTTAAATCTCTCTAAGCTTCAGTCTTATTATGTGTAAAATGTAATAATGCATTTGATAGAATCACAACAAGATCGTTTTGAGGCTGAAATGAAATTATGTATTTGCATGATTTTTTTTTTTTGCTTTTTGGTGAGGCAATCAGGGTTAAGTGACTTGCCCAGGGTCACATAGCTACAAGTGTCAAGTGTCTGAGGCCAGATTTGAACTCAGGTCCTCCTGACTCCAAGGTTGGAGCCTTATCCACTGCTCCACCTAGCTGCCCCTATTTGTATGATTTTTAAACTTTAAAGCGTTATACTGGGAATCCTAAAAGTCTTAGTGTCGTATTAAACTATTAAAGCTCAATACTGTACTAAGATTTTTGGGACATTCCATGTTGACTGTCAACTTATTGTTATAGATTTGTGAACTAAATTTCTCTCAATTTGAGACTTTAAGTATCTTTATATATATTGTAGTGTGTTGTATTGTCTTAGGAGAACTTAGGAAGTAGTAGAAAATTCTGGAGAAAAGAACTTGAAGTTCCTGCTAAAGAATATCCAGCTTCAAAGTTTTATTCTATGCCCTCAAACACCTGTTATTTCTTTAGTATTGCCGTAACTACCTCACTGCTGCCACCATGCTATCAGAACAGTTAAGAGTAAGCAGGGCAAGAAAGTTCAGAATACTTTTCTAGGTTTTTTCTTTTGGTGTGTAAACATACACTGTGCCCTCCCACCCAGGGAGCAAAAGGCAACCAGGAAGGTTCTTGACTTCTCTGAAAGGTGTGGCAAACACAGTTAAGTACTGCTCTTGAAACCAGTCCTTTTTCTTTTATTGCAGGCAGATAACTTTTATAAATTGAACCTCGTCTAGCTTGTTCATTCAGACAGGTAGGGCATGCAAGCATGTTTTGATCTCTCCTATTTCACAAATGCATGAGTCACTTTGATCATCCTCTTTAGAACCTGAAGCAATGATGTGCAAATAGGGGTCTGATATTTAGGTAAGGTTGTAGAATAAAGTTTTTCTTGGGAACTACCTGTAAAATGACATAGTAGAAGGAAACTGGGGGAGCCAGCTCTGCCCGAATACCTTCAACAGAATATAGTAACTATTTGTTCCAGTTCTCTACCACTGCACACATACCCTGAAAGAAAAGAAAAAAATTTTGAAAACTCTCCTGTTGCAGTTTCTGCCTGTGGAGCCAGGCTACTCCAGAGTCCCAGAGCCTGCATGACCTTGCCACCTGTAGCCCTGGTGCTGAAAGGAGGTGAATGACGTGTCCAGGGTCACAAACTGTTAGTGCGTGTCTCAAATGAGATTAAAACTCAGGTCATCCAGACTCCATTGCACCACCTCACTGCTTGTGAATCCGCCCTACCAATCTGAGTCAGAA